TTAATATTTAAAATCAAAACCGATCAGATACGATTGTGCATTTAATTTAGAAAGAAGCCTTCAACGCTGAAGGAAGAAAGATTGAACACATTTATACAACAAATGTTCCTGTACCGATGCCAAAACTGATGAAGACCTCTTCCCCAACTACTTGAGAAGGTTCAAAATGCGTTTTTCTATGTGACTGGTTAAGTTTTCATTTTGAATACTTGGTGCTGATGAAATTGAGAGACTTTGTTCATTTGCTTGTTTGTGGTTGTGTTTAGAAAAATATGAAGCATGTATGAATATGAATAAAGTCTTTTCACATTTATTGGAAGAAAATGCTTGTTTTTCGGCCGGTATTGAAGTTTGAAACTTTATGCAGCCCAGCATGTTTTTTGAAGACACCGAAAGATGATTTCTGCACTCACGAAACAAGGCACCAATTACACTGGCATGGAATCACAAGGTTGCTTTAATGGAAGACTTTCAGGGTTCATATTCGTCCAAGCCTTCAAGTAATTGAATTTGACACTCCAACAATAGGTAGCGTTTAAATTTGAACTACGTTAATTTAATTAATTAAAACTAGGAGACAGACTAATTGAATTATTAACTTAATTTAATATTATACAATTACATTAGTTCTACAATAGTACTCCACAATATAAAGTATTTTTTCTTAAATTATTTTCAATTTCCCTTACAATATGTGTTATAATACGAGTTTATACAAGAAATATTATCATTTTAGGAAATTTAAATACATTGAATTTTAATTAACTTTATTTTAATTTTTTTAATAAAATTATTCAAATTTATTTAAATTTAATTTTATTATTATGATAAAACATTTTAAATAATATCATATATCATTACATTAATATTTGTGGTTTTGTTCCCAAAATTTAATAATTATTTTTAAAATTTTATAACTTACACTACTAATTTTAACATAGACTTAATAATTATTAAATATATTTACATGTATATTAAATTTGACATTTCATCTTTTTCATATTCTTTTATACATTCATTTATTATTTATTATTTTAAAATCAATTATCAAGATCCATTAACGTAGGAAGTTATTTTTATAAATTACACAAATTTTGATAATTATATAATAAAAAATTAAATTATACTTCAAAAAATTCGTAACATAGAAAAAATATTATTAACAAGAATAAAAATATTAATAATAATATTAACAATAATAATATTAACAACAATAATATTAACAATAATAATATTAATAATAATAATATTAACAATAATAATAATAACATTAACAATAATAATAATATTATTATTATTATTATTGACAACAATATTAACAATAACATTAATATTAAACATAATAATAATATTTATAATAATAATAATAATATTAATAATAATAATAATAATATTAACAACAATATTAACAATAATAATAATATTAACAATAATATTAATATCACCAAAATCTGAATTGTATTGTTGTAATAAAAAAGAAATAATAGAAACTGGAAAGTAAAATATTGGAAACTTAATAATTCACCAAATGCTAGAAAGTGTAGTTACAACAAGAAAGAAAGAATAGACCCAATGTTAAAATTACATATAATAGCTTCTGAAAGAGGTGAGGGATGAATTTGAACGTAATACGATGCTCTGTTTATAGGCACCAACAACTTGCTAGGTGATAAAAATTCAAAAGGCACACTCAATAAAAATTGAATCAGAAGCACGCTCCTCTGCTGCTAATATTCCTCAAAAGTCTGCATCCCCATTTATGTTCCATGTGAAAACTTATAGGTCAAGACAATGTGTAGCCAATAACACTGATGCTTCAAAACACGATTTTAGTACAAGCACAACATACTGAACTTGTGTTAGGAAGGTTGATTTTTTGCAAGTTGAACTCATGCTTGCAAGCACAATTTTGCTTATTCTAGAGTGAAATTGTGTTTTCAAGCACAATTTTGTTTATTTTAGAGTGAAAATATGTTTTCAAACACGATTTTTGCTTTATTTCGTAATGGACTCATGTCATAGTGCACGATTTTAGTGTTAAACTTTACAAAAACTCGTTTTTGGTAACACGAATTTAGTGAAATTGGACCTTAATCTAAACTCCTGCAATGTTGCACAATTTTTGTTCAACATTTTATTTATGAGGAGTTTTTTTATGTGTTATGGCATGTGAGAATTATTAATAGTAGCTTAAAATATAACTTATGTAATTGTGTAAATGATAAACAATATGCTATTAGATGTGACAAAGTTAATAATTTGCATTCACAACCATTTTCATTGTAATTGGAAGACTACAAATATACTTTGATTGTTTCGAATTCAATTGTAACAATTTCTATTACACTCACAATTGTTTGTTGGAGTTAAATTTTTGAAGATATATTTACTTGGTTTAATTGAAATTTGTATTTAAATTTAGTTGGTTTATTTTAGTTAATATAGTTTACACTATCTGAGTATATCTATGACAATTGACAAACCTATTATTTAAGATATTATCGAAGACTTTACGGATAAAGAAGAAGATATTTTTTCCTTTGATGTAATATAGTTGAATGATGATGTCCTGTTACATGTTGCACAATTGTCTAATCAATTAATCCATACAGGCAAAAATAATATTTGAGAAAGTCGATGTTTTCTGTCAAAACAGACAACATTAAGTGTAATAAAACAATTTCATATTGATGAAAAATATAAGTTTTCTATTGTTGAGTCTAAAGCTAACAATTAAAATTAAAGCATCTCATACATGTTTGAGTACAATGTTAACTTTAGATAATCAAAACTTAGACTCTTCCGATATTGTTAACATTTTTTTTGAATTAGTTAGAATAGATCTCTCTGTTCATATTAAAACTTTGAGTACAAAAGTCAAAGTCAAACTTGATTATACAGTGACTTACAGAAAAACATCGCTAGCAAAACAAAAGACATTTTTCATGACATCTGGAGTGTGGGACAAGTCATATAATGATCTTCCAAAGTGATTGCAAGTTGTTGAAGATAATAATCTTGACACAATTGTTCATTACGCTTATTCTCCTCATTTAGTATATGATGTACATAGTCCATCATTTATATTAGAGTGAATCTTTTAGTCATTTAAACCTTATATAGAATATTTCAAATATTGCAAGTTAATTATTTAAGTTGACGGTACATTTTTAACAAAAAAATATCATGTTATGTTATTGATTATAACTTCACAAGGTAATAGAATATATATTTTCACTTGCATTTGCAATTGTGGAAGGTGAAATGAAAGAGACATTGATATGATTCTTGCAAATTCTAAGACATTACGTTACGTCTCAAAATAATTTATACATGATAACAAATAAAGACAAAGGAATATTGTCAATTTTACAATAAGAAAATCTTGATTAGAATTATCTCATCTCAGTGTACTATATTTACCATATTGTCTCAAATTCCAACAAAAAATTCAAAAATATTGATTTGAAAAGACAAGTTATCAATCTAGGTAACATTTTTTAACCTATACAAAATTTTTATCTAAATAACATATGTCTGAAATTATATTTTTTTTTCAGAGGATATGAGGAGAAACAACACACATTCTTAGCAAAACTATTTGTTTTATGACCTGACTTTGAACAACAAATGTCCTGATAAGACAAGATTTTATTGGAGAAATGAACTCAAACTTATGATAGAGGGAAACGATATGTACATATGACAATAAGTCTTACTGAATCTATGAATTCTATTATAGAAGGATCACAGACTTTACCATTATTTGCCTTAGTAAAAGTAATTTTTAAAAGAACTAAATTTTGATTTGTGGAAAAAACATGAAAGTAAAATATATGTTGTAAGTTGGACATGAGTATCTAGAATATATTACGTTACTACTTAATAAAATAAACAACTTGTTTAAACATGTCATGTTTAAAGGTACAATTAAGATAATTACAAGTTTAAGATCAATCTAATATCCACCATCATAAAAAATGAATAAATCACATAATTCAATTAAATAAATAATGACAAGATCACAGAGAATTCCAAACTATTCAATGGTCTTATTCTTACATCATTGTTATTTATTATTTCTGTCATTTATCATTAATTGCATTTATTAATTCGATTTACAAGTTACAAAATATTTATAAAACGTATAAATTTTAATCTTATATAATTCAAAATAAAAATTATTAATCTATTTATATAAATTTAAATTAGTATTCTAATTTAAAAGACATAAAAAAAAACCTCCAATTAATCGGATTTGTGATGAAATCTACAGACAAGATGGAAATTAAAAAAAAATCACTTTTTTTTATCGTGATTAGTAAAAAAGCCAAATTAATTCGAGTGGGAGAGGATAATAAATACCACTCCATCATCAATCTGTATGTATCCAAAAGTCACATCTTTTTATGTACTCACTCACTTCATCTCGTTTTTCATCAACTAGTTTTTCTGAGAGACAAACAAAATCTACACAGATTTCTCCCACAACCAATATTACATTGAAGAACAAAGTGTGAAAATATTGAATTTATGTATTAAAAAGATGTACCATCTCGTTTAAAAAGTAAAGACATGGCAGAATATTGGTTAAAACGAAGAAGAATGTGAACATGAAAGTGAAAGTTTTTATGATATGTGGGAATAGTCAACATGGATGCAGAGAAAGGCATGAGAAGTCATGATAAACAGATTCTGTTGTTGACGTTGTCCACGACCTACTCTACCATAGATTGCAGATTGCTGGCAAGCACTTTCTTTCCCTCCTTTTTCCTTTTTTGTCTCCATTTGTACTGTATACAAGTTACCACTTTTCAAAAAGTTGTATACAATAGAGAGAGAAAATTATAAAATAACGTGATCGATGTGATCATGTGATAGAGATAATGTATCCAAGGTTCTTCACCCCTCGTTCACTCACTTCTATAGTTCGTTTTTCACCATCTTCTAGTCTCTGACAAAGCAAACAAACAAAACCCATAAGCATTTCTCCTACCAAGATGGCAACGAGCAACAATGTGATCGTATGCATAAATTTCGTGGCTGTGATCCTCTCAATCCCAATAATTGGTTCCGGAATCTGGCTAGCAAACGAGCAGGCAGATTCCTGCGTCCAGTTTCTGCAATGGCCAGTCATCATCCTCGGAGTTCTCATCTTGGTGGTGGCTCTCGCAGGTTGCATTGGAGCTTTTTTCAGAATCACGTGGCTTCTGATAGTGTACCTCGTTGCCATGCTTGTGCTCGTGATACTGCTAGTGTGTCTGGTGGGGTTTGTTTATATGGTCACGCTTCGAGGTCATGGCAACATTGAAGCCGACCGGGCTTACTTGCAGTATCATATGGACGACTTTTCTGGGTTCCTTCGTCGAAGGGTTAGAAGCTCCTTCAAGTGGGATCGCATCAGAAGCTGCATTAGCCAAACCAACATGTGTGCTGAGCTCAACCAGAGTTACCGAATGGCTGATGACTTCTTCAACGCACGTCTAACGCCCATGCAGGTAAAACAACCATTATATATGGAAAGTTATTCCTTAACGAGAAGAGAATAAACAAGTTAAATATGTTTTCTTATAAAATAAAATAAACTTAAATATAAGTTAATCTGTAAAATCATTCCAAAACATTGTCTGTTAGAATGGAGAGGAATGTTTTGAATGATAGTTCAGGGAAAGCTAATGTTTTTATTATTATTATTATTATTATTATTTCTGAGCCCAACTCACCACAATTAACCTGTATATCAACTTTCTTGTTACATGATTAAAAACATGACATTGGTTTAGTTTAAACCATCTATTCTTGGACTTGTTAAAATTTTACCTTAATATTTACAATTTTTGTTGGTTGGATCATTTGCAGTCAGGGTGCTGCAGGCCACCAACGCGATGTGGGTACCAGTTTGTGAACCCAACCTATTGGATTAGAGCGTTCGACCTAGCAGCAGATATGGATTGCCTTCAATGGAGCAACGAACAGACACAACTTTGCTACAGCTGTGATTCATGCAAGGGCGGTTTATTGGCTAATCTTAGGAAGGAATGGAAAAGGGCCAATGTGATATTAATCATCACAGTCATTGTTCTAATTGTGGTTTATTTGGTAGGGTGCTGTGCCTTTAGGAATGCCAAAACTGAGGACCTCTTCCGCAAATATAAACAGGGCTATACTTGAGAAAGGCTTAAATGTGTTTCTTGATGTTATAGTGGTAAAGTTTCGTATTGAACAGTTGTGTTACGGTGATGACATTGGGTCACTTAATTTTTATCAATTATTGGAGGCTGTGTTTTGAAAAACATAATGCATGTATGAATTTGTCTCTTCCACTTATTGTAGCAGAAAAAAGATGCTTCGTTTTTTGGGGTGTTTTGAAAGATGAAACTTCATCATGGAAAGGAAAGGGTGTTGGAGGTAGGTCAGCGTAATTTGAGGAGAGCACCGAAAGCTGATTTCTCGACTACCGAGGCACCAATTCCATTGGCAGGCAGTACTACCTTCAAGGGATTTTGGCGCTCGAAAAATGCAGCATTTAAAATTCAAAATAAATTAATCGAATTAGTTCAATGTTCATTTGAAAAAGTAACTACATTTTAGCCCAATTTGTATTTTCATATAAGCTTGGTTGTAATGAAATTTTAATCACAAAATAATTTTTCGTTAAAGACAAGTTTACATTCCACAACAAATTTGTTAAGGTTGAAAATGGATGGAAGACATTTTTGTTGGACCACTTGGTATGATAATTGATATTCAGATGACATTTCTTATGATGTAAGAGTTTATTATTTCTTTTAGTATTCTAATGAACTTGTTTGGTTTGACAAATGTTTTGTCAAGAGAATGATAGGGAGATGTTTCCAATCATCTGTTTTAATTCTTAAATAATGTTATTAAATTATTTTATTTTTAAATTAATTGATATTAAATTAAAAATTCCAACGTGCATATTTAATGTTTAATTAGTTAAACATTAACCTGTTTTGTTTCAACGACATGGGGTGTTATTTGACAATTTTTAGTGTATTTTGTTTCTCAAATTTTTATTGTCTAAAACAGATTTAGCATAAATATTCTATGTCATATATCCTTTTTCTATGGGCTTTCAATTTGATTTCAACCCAACATGAAAACAGTAATTTATATTGACAGCATGTTGAAGATGTGTAGACGTGTTTGAACATGGAAAAAGGTAGATATTAATTTCTGTACTTTGTTTATGCAAATAATGTAAATTTAAACTAAAAGGTGAATAGTATTAGGATATATAAATAAAAATAAATAATTTTTTAAAACTGTTTATTTAAAACTATGATTCATGTCACTGAATTTAGTTAACAGATTAACCAGGGTGTTGCTCATGTCTCAATTCTTCTTTTGCTATGAATTTGCAAGAGATTTTTAGTTGGTTGGGTATAAGGATTAGAACTGCAATTTCCCATGTCAGCAGAAAGGGTGCGGTTAAGAATGCTAGAAAAAATAACAGCCATGTCTAAGTCCACTCCTTGACCATTCGCCCGTAGGAACAGGTTGATGTGCTAAAACATTAAATGTACAATTACACAAATATTAATGAAGAAAATAAAAAATACAGTTATGAAGCAAAATATTGTAAATTATTTTTATACATAAATAAATCAATTTTATAAACAATATATTTTAAAAAAATTATTTAAGTGAAATTATATTAATTTATTTATTCAAATATTATTTATATGTAGTTTTTTTCTTTTTTATAATTTTTTTCTCTTTTCATTATTTTTAATTTTATTTTTCTCTTTTCTATCTTTTACTTTTGTTTTATTTCTCTCCTCTTCCATTCTAATTAAAAATATGTACTATATCGAAATTTAATAAAAACATGTTCAAATAATTTTTTAAAAGTAAATATTAAAACTAAAAAAATATAAACTAATTATTTAAATTTATGATGATAGTAAATGATTTTATTTACTATGACATAAATAATTAATTTAAAACTAATTTATCATAATAAATTAATTATTAATCTAATTAAAAAAATATTAAATATTTATAAATAAAAAATATATTTTTTTATTTAGGGATTACTTAGATTAGATCATTTTTAAAAATACTATTAAAATTTTATTTTAAATTTATTTTTTTAATAATTATAATATAACAATAATATTTTTAATATCTCAAATTTATTATATAATATTTTTTAAAATAATATATTAAATTATAATATTTTTGGATAATTTAAATAATTTGTTAATAATAAAATATTCCTTTTATCATATTTTAATATATTATTTTTAAATTAAAATAATAAAATAGAGTGAAAAAAATTGAAAAAAAAACAAGTAAAAAAAAGAACAAAGAAGTCAATGAGAAGATAGAAAAAATAATTAAGGAAAGAGATAACAATAAATATTAAGTAAAATGGATTTATTTTATGTATGTGTAGTTGAGTAAATAAATTTATAATAATCAAAATTTTATTAGATTTTTTATCCATTTTTTCAAAATCATAATGTTTAATTTAAATTTCAGTTAAATTCTGGATTAAAAATTAACAGTAAAACTAAATTAAATTAATTTTTTATTTTATTTAACTATAATATTATATATTCAACACTAATTATTAATTAATAATTATAACTTTCAAAGATTATATTTAATGTTTGATTATATTTTATTTATAATATATTTATGTTTATTAAAAATATTATAATAATTTTATATTGTAATTTTAAATTATAACTTAATTTATTTATATATTGAAGAGATATTAAAATTGTTATCATAATCATAATTATATTGCTTTTTAATTTTTTTATTACAAATATTTAACAAATTATTTTAATGAAATGTTTTCCATTTTTTTAAAAATTGTTCAACAATTTGATGTAAAAAAAATCATATATGACTATTACATTTAATTCGAATGATTATTTAATAAAAAATTGAACTAAACCGTGTTAGTAATACCCCTTGATACGTTTCTCACATAACACCATTTTACCTTTTAAAATGTGCATTGCCTGCTTTGTTGACGGTGTTTTCCTTTCTTTCCATTTCTATCAAATCATAATAATAGAGAAAGACATTGAAATTGTAAAATATATATGATCCTTAAATACGAATGTAAATAGAAATTTTAACTGTTAAATTTATCAATAAATTGCCATTTCTGGTCATTATTTTGTTCAGAGTAACATTAGCAAGGAATAAAAGCCTATGCTATAGGTACATACTTCCTGTGTCATGTCCCCTACCAACTATGAAACCAAACTATGAAACCAAAGATGTGTTAATCTCCCCGATAAACCCATACACAAAGTATTAAATAACATCTCAAATAATGTTTTAAATATAAAATTCAAAATAATATAAATTAACTCAAACAATATTTATAACAATAATTATCAAAAAGAAAAAAAGTATAGATATTAGAGATTTTGGGCTCAACATATAATATGTTGGTCTTAAAAAAGAAATCACGTCCACTCATCAATATATAAGATATAAAAAATATATTTTTTATTTCCCTTTCTAAAATGCTCTCTCTCTAAGTTTTCTCTTCTCGAAAGCTTGAAGCTTATAATTCTTAGTGTCGTTCCCCACTTAGATGCAAGTATGCTCTACACTTGCCTCGAAAGAGGATCTGTGTATCAGAAAACTTCCGATCTATGAGACCATTTTATATCAGAGTGCTCTCCTTATGAGAAATATGAACTTGAGTGGACTTTTAGCTGAGGGATGACGTCGTTATGTCCTAAAATGTTCATATCGTCTCAATAAGAAGGGGTCTCTGTCCGAAATGGTATCAGAGCCTAACCATTTTCAGAAGGGGGTATGATAGTAGGAATTATGAGTGAAAAGTGAGTAAGAGAAACTTTTAAACATGAATAGCCAAACACCACCACCAGAATCCGGTCCCGTTGGTCCCGTTCTTTTAAACTCAACTCTTTCTCTTCCCAAAAATATCTCAAAAACTCTTTCTTCAAAAATAGAAAACCTTATAGAATATTCCTATATTCCAGAAGATGCTCAGATCTCTGAAACATACAGTCCTCTCCTTAGTCCTTATAATATTTTCAAGAGACAAAGACCTACTCTCAAATCTATTACTCGCCTCCTATACACCAGAAGACCTCCTGTCAAGGAGTACGTCCAAGCCTCTAGGATGGATCAGTGTGCTTTAGCATCCACCACCGAAGAACAATATGTCAACATTGAAATCCCCAAAGATCTCATCAGACATTGGCAAACTAAAGGATACACCCATCTCCCTTATGGTGCAATCTGACTTGTCCTCTCTCTACACGGAAGACGTGGATTACCTGTCTTAGCCAGAGTCTCTCTTCTAGACTCTAGCTACCTTCATTATGAACATGCCGTTATCGGTACTGTTCTAACTACTCTTCATGCTGGAAGTGTAGTTCTCACCATCTTCCCTAACTTCAATGTTAGTTTGAAGGATCCCACGATCTCCCAGAGATTGAAAGTACAAATCCAGATTACTGGAGCGGAACAAGTAGCAGAAGCATTATCAGCTACCCTTCATCATCAAATCATATATAGGTTACAAGATCATGCTATAAATCTTGCTTTACCATCCTGCAAAGATGGAGTACTCTTCGTCCTGACCAACAACCAAGACGAGACACCTTCCATAGTTCAAATCCCCAGAAATATCTCTTCACAAGAACTTCACAAGCTCATTCCAATGCAATGGGTAACTAACTATGAGAAGCTCCACATAAACCAGAAACTCATTCAGTTCACAGAAGCAACATTCAGAAGATCTGTGGATGGAACTGTTAGAACTATCTTTAAGAATCCAGAAGAAACACCTAGTTCCAGTACCTCCATTTTTCAGTCAATGATGATAATGCCTGTAACCAAAGAAGGCAAAATCCCAATCTCCAGAGTACGCCCTGATGGCAAACTTATCTTTACTGACAAGATAGGAGGACATTTCATCTGGGATGTAGACCCAGAAATGTGCGATTCTGACTGTAACTGTTGTGACCACTATGGAGACACTAGTGATGAAGATGATGACACTGACAGCGATGATGATGATGATTTCAAAGGAGGATCTTGCAAACCTCCATTTTCACCTTCCAGGAAATTTGAACCTGGAAAAGGCCCGTGGATAGGAATCCATCGACAACCTGAGACAGATCCCTTATGGAAATATAAGA